TAAAATGTGTGTGTATATCTTAGAGAATGGAGAGGGGACAGAACATTAGGGAAAGAATAAATTCATATTCAAGCTTATGTAATAAAGAGTAGTTTGGACTTTTGTCTGAAAACCAGTCAGGATAGGCATATTGAGGGTGGGGTAGGATAAGAATTGAAAGAAAAATTTGAAACTATACCTAGAGTAAGGGAAAACTACTACCAATTGAAAAGGCAAACAATAAAAACTGGTTTATATTATTTAAAGGAAAATTATGTTTATAATAACTAACAAAAACCTTATTAATGCCATGTAAGTAGTGTTCTATATTATTAAATGAATTAGGAATTAATTTTGTGGTGATTTTAATTTGATTATAACACTGATTTCTTTCTCTCACATTTTGCTGGCTTGATGTTCATCACCTCACAAAATTAGCATAATTATCTGTTCACAAAATTAAAAATCTTGGCAGAAATATGGAGAAGAATAGTTATTTATTATACTTCTGACTGCTTAGGAAAGTAATCATACTTTTTAAATGGTCATTTACCTAGAAAGTGATATAACCCTAATAGGTTAGATTGAATGTCATTTATATTAAATGCTAGGTATCTACAGAGTAGATATGCCCATTAAATGGGCTCTTTTTACATTTGAAAAACAAATTTTGATTTTACTACCAAGAAGAATTTTTTGTGTGTGTGGCACTGGCGTTTGAACTCAGGGGTTGTGCTTACTAGGCAAGTGCTCTACCGCTTACGCCACACCCAGATTCCTAAGAATTTTTTGATTCTCTATATGTGTTCATTATAATAGAGACTGATGTCATAACGCTGATGAATACTTGGTTTTATTATTTTTTAAAATTCTTAATGCCAAATAATTGAACTAAAGTCCATTCTTCCTTAATACAAGATATGAGTCCCTAAAACAGTCACTTCACTATGCAAAATTGGACAACAAAACCCCCAAGATTTATAGGAAAATGGGGATGGGGTACAGTATTTATGAACATCATTAGTGACACATTAAAAATATAAGAATTTAAGAAAAGTGGCAGTAGCAACTCAACACAGGTTAGTGGTGAAGAAATACATGAATACTACAGCAAATATGACAATTCAGTTTGAAAAAGAAGTTTATTTGTGAAAGATGTCTTCAAAAGAATTGCAGCTAACAAGTTATTGTGAAGTCTGGAAGGAGGGTTATTGTGACACCAGCTGTAACTTGGTGTGGCATTTCTAACCTATATGGAAAGTGAGGCAGCTAGTAGATGAGTACATTTTGTGCATTCCTGTGCTGCTTGGTTTAGCTGAGGGTAGCTTGTGCATTTACCTAGTGTTTCTTGTGGATAAAATCACACACAAGGAAACCTCAAATCCATGTCATGCTCCAAATCATTCTGTAATATGTCAATTACGTTAGAACAAATTTGAGGTTTTAAAAGAAGCATTACAGTAGAAGTAACTGTGCAATAATCCCTTTAATACTTGTATAGCTGCTTCTCACCTATTCTTGCCACCCTCTTGACAAGTAGGGAAGCAATTGTTGGACCATTTGTTTGTTAAGATATCCTGACCTTTTTAAAGTCATGCAGTAATGGAGAACCTGTGTCACACCCTGCTCAGCTCTGTGTGAATCCTGGGTAAGTGTGAATTATGGGTACATAAAGCATTAAAAATGTGGGAGAGGTCACAAAGACAAATGACAGAGGCTGCTTGAAACTGAGATCACTTGATCTTCATTTTTAGAGATCTCAGCTCAACATTTTATGAAGTGTCTACTACATGCCATCCTCTCTCTGGTCTTATCACCTCTGAAATGCATAGTTAATGCTTAAATAAGATGTTTTCTTCTTTGCATGGATCTAAAAACTCAGCCACGAGAACTCAGTTTATAATTTTGACATGGCTTTATTGAACATTTGCAAATTAGTGGAATATTTTAGAAATTATTTTTCAGTTTATCTTCTCTGCCATGAGGTCAGGTCAAATGTCAGGGTGCTTGATAAAAAGGCCAGTCTAGTGACTCTTGCCATTTCTAAGAAATTTTCATTTGAATTTCAGAGAAGATTAATGATGAAGGTTCAATCTAAAACCTGGGAATAACTTTGCTCTCAAGCATTAATTAATGTGGCAAATTCAATTGTTAGATACTCCCCATGTTACACCATCAGCTCCATTTCCAAAAGTTTACATTTTTTAAGAACCTCGTATAGTCAAGGCCAATGCCATGGGGAGTGAAAAGGATGAGGTATTGTCCTTGCTATAAAGGGACTGCTTTTGAGGTTTTGTTTGATGGCTGAAGAGAGCTTGTGTAGTATGCCAGACTTGGTTGGACACATGTCCACAGGTGAGTAAGAAGGCAACAATTCCTGGTGTCAGATAAATCAGTAAGTGTGTTTGTTGATTTTTGGTGGGTTTTTTTCTTTAATAGTACTGGGGTTTGAACTCAGGGTGTCATGCTTGCTAGGCAGGGGCTCTACCACTTGAGCCATTCCACCAGCCCATGTGTGTTGTGTTTGGTCACCGTGAGATGTAAAATACTGCGTTTAATGTGAATATTAAATAATATCTTTTTAAAAAATTTATTATCACATTGTTGTTATACTGAAGGTACATTGTAACATTTACAAATGTCTTATAATATATCGTAGTTGAATTTACCCCCTCCATCATTGTCTGTTACTCCTCCCCCCAATTCCTGGAATAGTTTCATAATGTCTCATTTTTCCATTTTCATACAGAATATTTCCATTGCACTTACCCTCTTACACCCTTTCCTTATATCCTCTCCCCTCCCACTGGTACCAATCCTTAGACTGGACCTATTTTACCTTTCTGTTCTCTGTTTTTGAAAAAAGGCATTTTTGTTTGTTTAAGGTAACTATACAGAGATTTTCATTGTGACATTTCTACATTTATATGTACTATAACCCGAATTGGTTCATCCCCTCTACTTTTCTGCTTTCTACCTTAGTCCCCTTCTTACGGTGGTATCAAAAGGTTTAAAAATTCTATGTTCATTCTTGTTTGGAAAGCCTTACACAGAAATCCTTCATTAACCTTTATCTTTTAAGGCTTACTTTGTGTGCTAATAAGTTTATTTATATTGAGGAAGGGCTTGTCTGTAAAACCATACATTCCAGGGACAATCCAACTGAGCATAGCATTGTACCTGAGGAGCTACAATCAGATTTTGAGTTGTCCTTCAATATGGTGATTGAGGCATCCTTCCATTAGGTGGAGCATATGTTCTCTAGCCCCTCAGTGAAACGGAGCTAGAGAAAATTCTTTTCATCAAACATACAACAAAAAAATGACTATTTTAGGGCTGATAAAAGTAATTACCATAAACAGCCAACATTTATTTCTCATAGTTCTGGAGGCTGGAAGTTTAAGACCAAGGCATCAACATAGATGGGTTCTGGTGAGGGCTCTTTTCCAGGTTTCTTGCATCTTCACATGGTGAAAAGAGAGTTTGCTAGCTTTGTGGACTCTGCTGTCTTGACCCTCATGACCTAATTACTCGCACTGCATAATGACATCTCAGTCAACGATAGACTACATATACAATGGCAGTCCCATATGATGACATGGCCTAGTGGTACCATACTGTCTTTGTCTGTATAAATGTCCTCTGTGATATTTTCACAAAGACAAAATTGTCCAGCAATACATTTCTCAGCACACATTCCTTCAGAATGTGTCTAGGTCCAAATATTTCCTTGCTGCTAAACAATGCATGACTATAACTTCTAAAGTCCCCAACTCTACATACTAGTAGTTTGGGAATTAGATTTCAGCATATGAAATTTGGGGGACATTCAATTCACAACAAGGACCAAACAACCTTATATGAATTGTGATATGTTCTATTATATTTTTAAATGAATTAATGTTTTCTTTTTAACAGGCAGTAATATAAGTTTATAAATGTATAAATATTTGGGATGTCAAGGTTGGGATTTAGAGTCCTTTCTGAGCTACATTAGCGGTATACACTATAATCAGCTACTTGCAGGAGGCTGTGGCAGGAGGATTGCAAGTTTGAGGCCAGCTTGGCAAAGTTAACAATATCAAAATCAAAATACAAACAAAATGGTTAGGGGAAGGTTGGGGTGTGTCTCAAGTGGTAGAATGCTTGCCTAGCATGGGTGAGCCCTGGATTTGATCTCCAGTACCACACAAAAAGCCACCCCCCATTTTTGTGGTATTAGGGTTTGAACTCAGGGCCTACACCTTGAACCACTCCACAAGCCCTTTTTTTGTGATGGGTTTTTTGAGATAGGATCTCATGAACTATTTGCCTGGGCTGGCTTAGAACTGCGATCCTCCTGATCTCTGCCTCCTGAGCAGCTAGGATTATAGGCATGAGCCACTGGCTCCAGGCTCAAAAATCCCTTTTTGAATGTGAGAACAAAAATAATTCTTTCCGTTCCTTCTCTTTCTTCAACTGCATTTACTTTATAGTATGATTTTTTTTGTTTGTTTTAAGTCATAATTGCTTTTATGAGATTAAATACCAGGTCAGTAATTGTGTTCTATGTCAGTTTGCCCTAAACTCTGCTCTTTTTTTAAGGAATTCTTTAAAAAGAAGAAAAAAAAGTTTTGTTTTTTTTTTCTTACCATTTGAGCCACTCTACCAGCTCTAAAAGAAGTATTTTAAAATAAACATTCTGATTGCCAGACTCTGACATAAACTTCAGATTCAATTTTATATGTGATAGAAATGAGAAGAACTAGGGTTCTCTATTTTGACATTTAGTATAAATTCCTTAATTTTTGATGACTCTGGAAGATTAATAAGTGAGACTAAAATATCTTATTTTTCCTGGTCAGAGTTTAAAGATGCATTCAAAGTCTCTAGGTTGTAAAATACAGCTTAGGTTAATTTGTGAAGTGTCTAGAGGGTCTAGAAGAAGTACAATGCAGACCTAATAAAATTGTTTTCCACCCCTAAACTCTATTAACCACAATCCACTTCCATTGACTTCTTATTTTGTTTCATTTTCTCAGGGAAGCAAAAAAATTTGTGAGTGAAAATGAAGGGGCGCTTGGGAAAGGAAAAGGAAAGCAGTGGTTTGCATTTAAGATGATGATGGCCAAGGTAAGCATGTGCATTCTTCAGTCTGCTTTATACCATACTGACCCCAAGGGAGAGAACACTTTCATTCTGAGCAGGTGAAAAACAATCTTTAAACAGTCTTTACAAGCAATCACATTGTTTGTGTGCATAAAGCACAAATGAGTAAGTATATACACAGAATATCTGTGGCATTAACATTTGTGGAGGGCAGATAAAAAATTAACCATAGAGAAATGAAACTATAAACAAAAAGCTGAGGGCTTGGGGCATGGCTGAAGTGGTAAAGCACTTGCCCAGCCAGTAGGAGGCCCTGAGTTCAAACCCCAGTACCACGAAAATAATAATAATAAGTTGAGAAATACTAATTTGTAGAAAAAGACTTATCGTATCATTTTATCAGTTCCAAATGTAAAAGACTGTGTGCCCTTTGTATTTTTATATTCTCGAAGTTAAGGCATTTTGTCAAGGTCTCTTTTTCTAAATGTCTACAAGTTGTAGGATCATATATCTTTTCTCTATCAGAAACCTCTACCATATATTGGATAGAAAATAAGAAAAAAAATAATGGCGTACTGACACAAATACAGATTTGGGGAAATACAGAAAAGAAACTAACATTTATACAAATAGCAGAATTCTTCTATTAAGACATTTAATTCTCATAATAAAGTGTGTACATAGGTTTTATTCTTTCTTTATAAATGTTATACCAACTGTAAACTAGATGTAGTTTATGAAGATAGTTTGTGAATAAAGTTCATAGTTTTAAATTTTCATATATATATGCACACACATACTTGATAAATTTTTTTAGCAGTACTGGTACAGGGTCTGAATTGCGAGGGCAGGCACTCTACCACCTGAGTCCCTCCACACGATAGATTAATTTTATTTACTTTTTATAATTTAAATAAATGGAGTCACATAGTGTTTAGAGTTAATTTCTGGCTTCTTTGTTACATGATCAACCTCATGAGATAGACACATCCATGCTGTGATGGGAGTTGCCATTAATTTTTTTTTTCTGTTGTATTACATTATGCAAAGATGCAACAATTTATTTATATTCATTTATTCTGTTGTAGATGGAGATTTGGGCTGTTTCTAGTTTGGGGTAATGCTCTGAACTTCAGAATTATACTGCTATTTAGGTTCAATATACCTACTCAGCTCTCACATTCTGCCAGCATAACAGGCACATCTGCCAGGTTATATTTCCCATTCTCATTCTTTCTAGTGGTCCCCTTGATGATAGATAAACCAACACTATGGAGAAAAATGGAAGGAAGACCTTTTATAAATAGAACCTATTAGTTTTTATCATGGTACCCTATGACACCATGCCTTTTCATTTAGTTGATTGCTCTGCCTCAGTCAGAGTGTCATAGAATTGAACCCACGGGAGAGAACACTTTCCTTTATTTAAATGATCCGTTTTTATACAATCTACTCTAAGAGACCAGAAGCCTTTCAAGGAACTATATATTATTTATATTTCATCAATTCCTTTATGTAATGAATATTAATTAAACATATAGTAAGTAACAATCCTTTATTATGTGCTAACTCAATTCCTGCTCGTTATTATCTGGTAGAATAGATTTTTTTGAGTGGTGGTAATTCCGCTAAAAGAAAGATCAATGAATATTTTTTGGTAATTTTTTTTGAAACAGTGTCGCCCTGGCTGGCCTCAAACTTGTAATCCTCTTGCCTCAGTCTCCATTTATCTGGTATTGCAGGCCTGCACCACCACACTCTGCAATAAATATTTTTTGAATTAAGTTAGTCTGGGGATGATGGAAAATAGAGAGGCAAATAAAACACACTGTTTTCCCTTTTCACAAAAAAGCAGTACTTAGAACCAGAAAGATCTTTCCAAGTTCATGGTCTTGTGATGTTTTGGGGTGGAAAAAAACATCTTGATAACCCAAGAGGTTGGATCTTACTATTGTACTCGACTTCCTTTTCAGAAATGGGCAAAATTTCTTCGGGATTTTGAGAATTTCAAAGCTGCTTGTATCCCATGGGAAAATAAAATCAAGGCAATTGAAAGTAAGTGCTCATTATATCCCAATAGATGAGGAACATTGTCCTAGCTAAATGTCTCATAAAGTTATTTCTTGGTTTATGGACTTTTAGAAAGAGGGACAAACAAACAAATCAACTAACCAAATACTTTACTTTTCCTCTTATCACTGTGAAGTTTTGTGTGTTAGTCAACTCTTAGTTCTTGAAATAATCATCCTAAAAGACAGGTTTATTTTGGGTCACAATGTCAAAGATTTTAGTCCATAGCTTCCTGACCATTTGGCTTTGGGCCAAATTTGGCAGACGCATGTGGCAGAGGAAACATGTTTCAGGACACAAAGAGAAAGATAGAAAGGGGCTTGGGTGCTAATAACCCCTTCCAATGTATCTCCTAGTGACCTATCTCCCACTTAGCCCCGCCTCCTAAAGGTTCTGCCACTTCACAACAGTGCCCCAAGCTGGCAACTAAGTCTTTAACACATTGGGCCTCTTGGGGACATTCCAGATCTAAATTAGCGTGATTTATTAGCACTTACCAAGAATGACACTGAAGACTTCACTTTCATGTCCTACCTTAGACCAAAACATTTCCACTCTGAACTGGCTTTTTCTCTTGGATAGGAAACTCAGTATTGCGCTTAACAACATTGAAGCATATTATTGAGAATGCAGTATTTTTTTTCTCTCTTACTTTTTTTTTTGGGGTGGCACTGGGTTTTTAACTCAGGGCTTCGTGCATCCAAAGTAGATGCTCTATCATTTGAATCCCACCTCCTGTCTGTTTTGCTATGGTTATTTTGGAGGTGCCTGTCTCTCAAACTATTTGCCCAGGCTGGCCTCGAACTGCAATCCTCTTAATCTTAGTTTCCATAGTAGCTAGGATTATAGGCCTGAGACACTAGCACCTGGCGAAAAGATAGTGGTTTTATTCTAGTAGTGAACATGATATTGAAAATATATACTCTCATGAATGTTAGAAAGTAATAAAAATGAACAATTTTTCCAAGCAGTAAAGAAGTCTTTAAACCTCACTTTCAAACTTGTGACAATGAGCAGCAGTTATCTAGGAACATGATAATTCATAGTGTGCCTTCATTTTGTACAATATTTGAGCACAACATTGCCATATTCTGGGTTTTGAGAAGGATCTAATTTTCATCCATGCACCTTCAGATCAGAGCTAGGTTTTCATGCTGGCTAAATGCATAATTAAAACGGAGGCTCTCTAGGGAGATGACAGAGCTGAGAGACATTTACTGACGTGCTTGGACATGTTTTAGAAATGGCGTGCCCTTAGTTCTTTCTCTTATTAAATGACAATGAATGAAATACATCAGATCATTAGTTGAACTTCCTCCCACAAACTTCTTGTACTACATCTTTCTTGCTTTATGTCTTGTTTAGTACTTGTCCCTATCTAAAATACTATATTTTAATGTAATCTCATTTCATTTCATTTTGTGTTCATGCCATTTTCCCAATAGATATGAAAGTAGATATTTTGTTTTATTCATTCCTAGATCCTACTTGGCATTTATATATGCTAAATAAAAATTTTTACACATTCTCTAAATGTCTACCATTCTACGAAATAAATGAAAGGATTTTAGACACATCAGAAAAGAGCAATTATCATGGAATCCTTAGGTTTCAATGGTATAGCTGGAATATGTACCGTGAGAAGCATTAAGAAACATAAGGCCATTTGGAGCAGTGAGATCCTGATCAAGGAATGTGGAAAGAACTCTGTGGGTTGTCCTTGCCTTGCTACAGATGAGCTGTTTGACTTTGAGTCAGTCATTCAGTATCTTTGGGCTTTAGTCTACTCATTTATGAAAGATGGGGTTGAATCTTGATCAGTTGTGAGAGTTAGCTTGAGAAATTTGTAATGGGAATGTATAGTTAACAAAAATACATACGAACAATTATTTTTAAAGACATTAGAGTAGTCTCCAGCCTACTCCAATAATAATGTCATACCCACCTGTGTTTCAGTTTTCCATCTTGAGTAGAGTAGACATGGATGAAGTTATTTTTATCAACAAAAACTACACACAGGAATCAGTCACACAAATGATCACCATCTATTCTGAATGTCACAGTAGAAAACACAGATTGAGAGTTCACAATAATTCCTCTAATTATCTTCCTTCTTCTTCCAATAAATTTGGAAAAGCCAAGATGGACAATTAAACAAATGTGCATTATTTTTCTTTCTATATATAATTTGTTGGGTACAACGTCCTGACTTCATCACTGTTAATGTTGCTTTCCCTCAACTGTAAATTGATCCTTATTTTCTGTTCTATCAGCCATCACCATAACTATCAGTTATGGAGTGCCACTGTGAGTTATACACTCTACAAATATCATTTCATTTAATTATCAAGGTGTGTGGGATATGCATTTTTACTTTCCTGTGGTACAGGTGTGGCTAAATAGCTGTGCTGAAGTAGTTACTAGCAGAGATGAGATACAAGGAAAATCTGAGTTCAAGCCTTTTTGCTTTAAAGAAGATATTTTAAGCTTTTATTCCTTTTCAGCATGCTTTACACTTCTATGCAATTCTATCAGGTCAATGGCAAGATGAGTAGTTAACTACTTTCTTGATAGTTATCCTACCTGGGGAATTAGTTCCCATTTTCTCACATTTACTTTTTATTTTTCTTTCTTTCTTTTTTTGATGGCATTAGAGTTTGAATTAAGGCTTTGCACTTGCAAAGCAGGCACTCTATTGCTTGAGCCATACCTCCAGTCTCTTTTGCTCTGGTTATTTTTTGGAGATAGAGTCTTATGAACTATTTTCCCAGATTGGCCTCAAATCACAATCCTCTCAATCTCAGTCTCTCAAGTAGCTAGGATTATGGGCATGAGTCCTCAGCACTAGGCATATGTTTACTTTTGAGTGAGTTATTTTGTTACACATTTCATATTTTGTAAGATTCTAATGTACAAAGATATTAATAATCATAAACAGATCATATTCTTTTGGACTACTGTGTTAGTTGGAAGGTAGGAAGTCTGTTTAGGAATATATTCTTAGAGTCATTGAATTGGACTAGTCAATTTGTAGGAAGTACTTTACCAAAGGTAAGAAAACATGTAACCGTGATGGTCTTTGAAGCTAAACAGGATGAAAAATGAAAGCAGTGGAACACATAACCTGTTTCTTAAATCTTATTTATTTATTTATTTTTTGTGGCATTGGAGTTTGAACTCAGGACTTTGCATTTGCTAGACAGGCCCTCTACCACTTGAGCTGTGCTCCAGATGCAATCCATTTTCTGAGGGTTGATGCCATTTTGTGCCTACCGACTCTGTACTTTAGGCAATCTTTTTAGTCTCTGATCATCAATATCTACATCTGGGGTTTCATATGAAATCTGGATGTTTGAGTAGTTACTATGAAAAGTCATTTCCAGGTTGACCTTCCATGATGTGTAATTCATAATCAGTTTTAGATGTATAGTCAGACATGTAAACTTTTCTATTTTATACCTTTGAGTGAAAATTATTGAAACATTTAAATAGAAAACATACTGAACGCTACTTCTTATTTGTCTTCTTAAATTCTTTTAAGAATGAAGTTGGCTAAATATGCACCCTATTTATAAACTATATTTAAACATATAACTAACATAAATGCTTTTCTTTAAAATAAATGATGATTAAAACATACAAAAGTTTCAGAAATATTGTTATATTCTTTTTGAATGTCAGAACCACCTAATAATCTCATCTTCTGAGTGAGCTTGGCATTACTGATTAATTAACTGAGTAAATGCTCACTGTAAGCCTACCATATCCTAGCTATGGTTGTAAGCACTATTGCTGCTGGCAAAGACAGTGAAAACCCTACCTTCATTTATTTTAAATCCAAATGTGTTTGGTGGGAGGGAAAGATAGATCATAAAATATGTGAGTAAGTAATGAGAATCATTATGGATTATGGATTATTCCAAAGAGAGGAAGCAATACTCTATCCTCATAAGTCTTTCTAATCCATGTACTCAATCTCTAAGTAAATACTAGCAAATATTTTAAAAATATGATTTTAATGCAGCTCCAAATGACCAGCCTTCACTGTTCCCCCAAACTCCTGATCAATAATCGGCAGAATTAAGAAAGGAACTAAACTCAGCCTCTGAAATTTAGGTTGTTACCATCTTGATTGTAGTAAGACCTAGATCCCTCTATTAGGATGGCTCAGATGCTCACCTGGTGACTCCTACTCTGTTTTCATTTAAAATATTGATTTGCTAATACCTGCCACAGAGGATGCTGTGAAGTTCCACATTGCATGGGAATGCCATGGAGTTTTATACACTAGGCTTGTAAAGGAGTCAATACCTAAAATTTCAGGCTTGCTCTCATTGGTACGAACCTTATGAACCTCATTACAATGCACATTCTGTTGAAGAAACTGCATGAAAACGTATTCTAATATAATCTCTACCCACTGCCCTACAGATATTACTATTGAGACTGAGATTAAATAACTCAATGTCTTTCAAACTAAAGATTATAAATCTTTCTCAGAAACAAAATCTGCTTTTTTTTAATAGATTACAACACCAAAAATATATGATTGATTTATTTTTCAGACTAGAGATCACTTTAGGTGGGCAGCCAGAACAGAGTTTAAACCTTGTGTTTCTCTTCTGGTCCCCAAGGACTCTAGGAAATAAAAATCAAATTTCTCATGTTTAATTGTCTACTCCTAGGCTCATTGGAAAAAGATCTGTGCTTCACATCCTCATGTAACATAATGGTATTTATGCTGTACTCATATAGCCAGTCATTTATTTGGTGTTTTCCCATTCAGAAATGCTGCCTTATTCCCCATCTGTTCGAGAGGAAATTACATATGATGACAAGGTACAAATTACATTTCCTTAATAATAAATAACCAGGGGGAGAGGTGAAACTTTAACCTTAATTTGAAAGAAACACAAGAAGATTTGTTACAAGAGTATGCATAAACTTAATTCTCACTTTAACACATATCAAGGAATTTTAATACATTTCTAATTTACTATGGAAGCAGCATCTATCAATTGGATTAAAGAAAAGAAAAGAATTGAGTATTTATGGGAACTGTCCAAATTATGAATTTGAATTAGACTTAGATGATTGATAGACATTATCTACAAGTATTCTTTTAGACATGTATGTTCATTCCATAGTTGTTTTGCACATCACATTTTTAAAAGAAAATAATTGAACTACAGTCTTACTTGAGAGGCTGAAACAGGTGGTTAAGAGAGATCTAGATTTGGAGTCAAACACCTGCAGATGAAGATTGCATGGTTTAGAGTCCTGGCTCCATTGCTTACCACTTATGCAACCGTTGGTATAAGTCTCTATACAATGAGGATGCAACAGCTTCTACTTCACAGGGGCTCCATGATTAATAAGCTAACAAAGATCAAATAGGAGCCTGATGCAAAGATTCTTACATTAGTTATTATTATTCATCTCCTGCTTTAGTCAACTGCTGTGTTTAAGTTTTCAGAGTAATGAAGTAAGACTAACAACACTTAACCTCATCAGATTCTAAAGGCAGCCATCAAGATATGCTGGCTACTGTTATGATTACTACTACCCATCTTTGTTCCTTACAAGAGTAAATCAGGTTGACCTGAGACACTAAGCTTGTGGAAATGACTATCTTTTCTCTTATGATTTTTCAGCCACATTGTATACAATGTTTAGTGGATGCCAGTTTTTGTCAGCAGCCTTCAGTAAGATAGAATTGCTAGCATAAGCATGGTTAATAGTGGAAGCTTTCTTTTTTTTTGCGTTAAGACAGGGAAAGATTCTGTGGAGCTTCCATGCCAGTCGGTTGGCTCACTTTCTCATCTTTGTTTTGTTTTTGCACCTTCTACTCTGCCACAGTGTGTGGAATATGGAACAAGTGTTGACTTGTGGATTCCCTGGTCTTTCTGAACTGTGTTTGGGTCTTTTCTAAAATCATAGCTTTAATAGAACTTGTTTTACTGAAATTTGTTTTCTTTACATTTAGAGCTTTGTTAATAATCTACCTTCAACTAAAATAGTTGTGAAACAACTTTTAAGTCTCCGACTGGAATTTTGAAGCTTTGGACTCTAAATTGTATTTTATTTATAACATGTAGTGTGTGTTAGAGGAGGGGATATTTTTCTGAAGCATCTTAATTTACTTTTCTCTTTTGCATTACGTACATTTAAAATCTATGCTTAAGAAGCTCACTTTCCAGGGGTCGTATGAGGGCTGAGAGGTGCAGGTCATGGTGACAATCACAAGAAATCTGTAAGAAGGAAAGAAGAAAAAAGAAGGAAGGAAGGAAAGAAGGAAGGAGGGAAGGAAGGGAAGGAGGGAGGAAGAGAGAAGGAAAGGAGAGAAGAAAGAAAGAAGAGAAGAAGGAAAGGAGGGAAGAAAGAAGGAAGGGAGGAAGGGAGGGAAGGAAGAAAGAATGGGAGGAAGGAAAGGAAGGAGGCAGGGAGGGAAGAAAGTAGGAAGGAAGGAAAGAGATAAGGAACAAAGGAAGGAAAGGAGGGAGGGAGACAGGGAGCAGTGCTCATGGTTACAGTACGGGGCAGGGAGAGGAGGTGTATCAAAACTACATGCTCTTGGAGTCTTTACTCCCATTCCTGTGTAGAACAGGAGATGTTTCTCTCTTTTTTCTTCCCTATTTCTCCATATTTGATCCTGTTATACTAAAATAAATCCTTGCTAAAACATCAAAAAAAAACCCCTAGAAAACAAAACCACATGCTCGTAAAATATGATACACCCCTCTGTAATATGAAATGAATCCGAGTTCTCTTTTGAGTTTGAAGAAAAACAAATCCTCAAAAAAATTTCTTTCTTCCAAAATGTCCATTCAGAAATTGACTTCTTTTTAAGTTTCCAAAAACCTTAACCTGGTATTATGGTTATACGTAAAATGGTACCTAAAGAACAGACAAAGCTACAGAAATAAAAATACTGCTCTCATGGGAGGATGGCCTCATTTACTAAGTAGAAGCTGGAATTTACACCACATGAAGTAAAAATGCTTCCCATTCAGAAGATTTCAAAGACAGAGGATTCAAGGATTTCATTGGCCATGAAATGGGGATTTGCTGAATGAGATTGGGCAGAGGTGCTTAGGCAGAAAGGGTGACTGAAGTTCGTCATTGTTTTTTCTTAGGCAACTGAAAGTGATGATGGGGCAGATTGGGAATGCTGAACCTTCGGTGATTAGCAAAGAATCTTTTCTTTGGTAAATCTATGACATTTCAACCTGAGACCTCAAATCCCTGTTTTTATTTATTCTTCCATTCTAGCTTTTAAGAGGATGCTTTTATTTATGTATTTATTTTTCCTCAGTCAATACAAATTGGCCAGATCACTTTACCATTCACTGTTTTGGGCAGGTGTGAGTTGACACAACATTTTTCCCTGTTGACTCTCAATTCATTCTCCAAAGCTGCAGTGATTTTCTTTTCAAAGGTGGCACCAATGCCCTACACTTTCAAGCCTCACTAATCAACACTTGTCAGTGACTTCTCATTATATTTTAAATAAAATCCTCACTTTCATATTGCCATAGGAGGCCCCATGTAATGTGGTTTGTCCACCTTTCAATGCTATCTGTCGCCACTCTCCTCCATCATTCGTTGTACTCTAACCTCACAGGGCTTCAATTTTGTTCCCCAGTTTTCCCAAGCTCTTTCCTTTCTCAGGATCTTTGTTGTTGCTTTCTCCTCTGTTCCAGGGCTCTTCCTCAGATCTCAGCTCCAATGTTATCTTCTCTGATACACCTCTCTTAACAAATCATCCTAAAGCAACCTCTATCAATACTTTACTTGTAGGACCCATCTGGCTATAATTTATTATATTATATTATAATCTTCATATATGTTTATATGTAGTGTGTTTTGTTTCCACATTGCACTGAAAATTAATTCTTAGAGCAACTACCCTGCCTATGACATTGTATTTCATGTCCAAGACAATTCCTGGCAGAAAATACTTAGTAAGACTGTGTGGATGAGGCTGGCAGAGTGGCTCAAGTGGTAGAGTGCCTGCCTAGCAAGCATGAGGTCTTAAGTTCAAACTGCAGTACCATCAGAAGAAAAAAAAAAAAACAGATTGTGTGGATAACAGTTTCTATGAAATGCCAGTAGTGAGAGGAAACAACACAAGATGGATGAAAGGAGAACCATCCATAAAGCATGTGGTGAACTGTTTTGAGAAGGATATTGTTTGCCTGAGAAAAACAGTAATTACAACTAACCACAGGCTGGGCACTGCAGTTACCACTTTACATCTATTTGCTCCCTTATCTGTATTAACTCAAGGAATAAAGTAGGCTCTGCAGGTAGCAATTTTATCTGCTAAGCACAAGGTAGCTTTCCCTAGGATGGACCCTAAAGGTGTAGGTTATAATCTATAGAGCTATAGTCTGTATACCTTCTCCATTCTATGTCACAGAGAGCACGTCCATCCTGACTGACATGTTATTTTCTTGGAGAAAGAAGGGTGGAGCTCATAAATGTGAAATATGTTTCAGTTAGGAGATGTATTTTGGGAAGCTACCATGGTGGAGCTTTTGTTTTGACCTCCCCCTTCACTCTTTTTATTTCTCACATCACATAAGAAGCTTCTCATGTGATCACTCTCCTAGAAAAGCTTTTATGTGGTATTTAAAAGTAGAATGACTAACTTACCGTGTTCACTTCATATAGTGATAAGATTTGTTAATAAGTTTAACCTTTAAAATGATTGGTACCCATGGGCCAAAGGTTTTAATCCTTGCCCAGAGGGTGTGTGACCCTCACAAAATTACATATAAAATGGTGTGTTTATTGTTTAAATGTGCATTTTCATGTGGAAAGTTAGTGACTTCCATTGGATTCTCAAGGTGGTGTCTGTGCCCCAAGGTTAAGCAGCATTGATTAAGAGGAAGGCTTAACATCAGTGGGCGGCATTTATTTTACCAAGTATGCTTTAAAAGAAATAATTCTTAATAAGACTCAAAGCATCCAACCTTTCTAAACTGAAGAAACATAAAATGAGCATTTTTCCCAGAAATAAATTAAGATCCCCCCACCCTAACATGCACATGCTCTCAATGGGGTCTGGTGGGGATTGATCTTTTAGGAACAAAGTCAGAATGTAAAATAGTCCAGATTGAGGAAGAAGGCAAAGCCCTGAGCTGATGTGGGAAAGAGAGTCAAAAAACAGATTAAGTTTGGGACCTTTGCCCACATGAAATTAAATGACTCTGACCGCATCACATGCTTACCATACATGAGTAGGTTAGATTTTATTTAACAAAGGGCTTTTTCAAGTATCAGTATTTCAAAACCAATTTGTTTAATGCAGCACTGACCAGGGCCAAAGTTTTGTGCTTGAGTGATTTTACCCTCATAGTTTAAAATAAGTGACATTTTCTTTTCCAAGCCTCCTCTTTAGCATAATAATAGTAATGTGTTGTAGTCTTAAATAGGTATTAGCTTTGAATAGTGCAAAACACTTTTACTTCGCAACAAATTTATAAGGTAGACTGTCTTTAAGAATTTTCTTTCCCCACTTAAAACATGTGGAAACTGAGTCACATTTGGTGATAGGACATAGTGATTGTCTCAGAGAGAGTTATTTATTTTTACTAAGTTGTTCTGGAACTATGGTCCATGATTCTACCTTTTATCTTCACACTGTGCACTGTCATAGAGGAATGCGGATGTAAATGATAAGCCCTGTGTAATTTATCTCCCAAGTTAAAACTCTCAGACAATGTACCAGAATGTGCATGTTTCATCTATTTCAAATTAAAACCAACTTTGTTTTTGCTCATCTTTCTAAAGAAACCTGAAACAATCCCCCACCCAACCCCCACTCCATCACCGCCTTACTGAAATACCACTCGGTGGCAGAGGCAGTAGAAATGGAGTCTTGTCAGCTGCAGTTGCTCTTTCTACCAAACCATGCTGCCTCCATGTGGAGGAAATGAAAGGCTGTCATTAATCTCTTTGAACTCTTAGATTACACAATGCCCAGTGTGTGGTGGTTCATGGGATGCATCCTGAAAGCTGGGAGCTTATTGGCTTAGGATGCTCTTTCATAGGTTTGTGTTAGATGCTAAGAGGCATCCTGTTTCTTAGGTAATGATTACTGATCGTACAGTCTGGGAAACCAGAGGGCCAAAGGGCTACAGCAGAAGCACATGCCGTTTGTGTAGAGGAAAATGAGCAGGCACTGGTTTCCAGCCCTTGCCCAGTCAAACTTTGCACACAGGCTTCAAACCACATTCATCTTTTGCCCCAGCCCCAGGTGAGGGAAGTTCTATTCACATAAGAAGCAGCTTTTGCTGTGTACGGTGGCTCAAGTCTGTAATCCTAGCTACTTGGGAGGCAAAGATTCGGAGGATTGTGTTTCAAGGGCAGCCTGGGAAAAACTTCTCCAGACCCCATCTCCACTGGACATGTTGGCTGGTGCCTGCATTCCCAAACTATGCAGGGAAGTACACATAGGAAGTTGGCATCCAGGCTATCCTGGATAAAGTGAGACCTTGTCTCAAAAATAAAAATAAATAATGCAAAAAGGCCTCAAGTGGTAGAGAATGTGCCTAGCAAGTGTAAGGTCCTGAGTTCAACCCCTAGTACTGGGGTGGAAGAGCAGCTTCTGCTTGGCAAGCCCATAGGCTGGGCTGCTTTTTCCAGTTCTCATCTCCCTATGACAATATTCTTGCCCTGCCCCTGGCTGACTGCCTTCCCAGTACTATTCCCAAATGTACTTCTCTCTCTTCTAATTGGCTAGAACAAATTAGTTATGGCATAGATACAATAATCAGGATGCAAGTGTTCCCTTGTTGACACCCTCTAATTACATGACTGATTCTCTTCAGACTTCTCTTCCTTGACATGACAGAGAGACCCCCCTTCCTCTTCCATTTCTATGCCTAAGGAGTATTCTTACATGAAATGTGGGTAGCATAGCTTTGTACTTTGGTACTATAGTATCCCCAAATGTCACCTCTCTTCTCTCCAGACGTCCTCTAAATCAGACCACTTTGGAGGTGGTGGTGGGGCTTCTCAGCAAGCCTCCTGGAAATTGTGGTTCCCTAACCCTGTTAGTCCACTGAACTAAGGATACAGTCCTTAGCACTCCCTTTGTTCTTAACTCTGGATTTAGTTGATTCCCAGAAAACAGGACCCCACATGGAGACCCACAGAGTCCCTATGAAAAAGTTTCAGAAGTGCTTTTTAACCAAAACCACTTGTGATCACATGTGTGCTTCAGATTTTGGTTTCAATTGTTAACTGCTCTTTTTACTTCATATAGTACCTCTGGGGTTTGCCATATGGCAGTTTACCTAGGAAAACAGTCCCAAGAGCTGAAGAAGCATCTGCAGCCAACTTTGGTGTGTTGTATGACTTCAATGTAAGTATTTCCACACAACTGTGTTGTAGGGGAATGGACTTTTTCTTATGCTATTTTATTCTAAAATCCTGTGGCCTCTTTTACCAGGGCAGGCTGAATGTCTTATAAGAGATGGCCCTGCCTTCTGTTTAAAAAAGAAAAAACATATATAAATGTAGATAAGATTTCAATATATGAAAATATGATTAAGTAGAAATGCAGACTTCTGAATAAAGAGGAGCTCAGAGTTCAAAGACTTGAAATAAATATTCTTAACTCTGTCTTTGAAAAAGAATGAAGGAAGAATTTGTAAATGTGCCTTTTGGAAAATTTTGTTGAATCCTTTGAGCATTAGTTTTTCCATTTCATATTAACATCTCCACTTTCTAAACAAGCCTCCTATTCAATATTACTCAATAGTCACTGCTAAATAAAGCTGAACACTATATACTAAGAAATACTAATTCTAACATTCAAATTATACGAAAATGAGTATTACTCCCTCGTAGCAAGATGAATATTATTCCATTGTAGTACTGAAATGAACCTTACTCAATTGCTAAGGCCTTTGAAGAGTTGTTTTAGAGTATGATTCAAGGCTGAAACAATGTAAAATTCCATACATTCTTTTTAAAAATACTGACCAGACCATATGTCTGGAACCATATGGGTGGAAAAGTTTCAAGGCAGAGATTGGGGATTTGGTAATTCAAAGAATTTTTGAAGGATAGCAAAAAAGAATAAAATTTTATGTAAACTATCTGAGGAGGAGGAGGAGGAAACGCCAGTCTTCCTCTTTAGAGTGTTAATATGCATATTTCACTGATGTTTTGATTTCTATAGTTTTACCTTTTCTCAAATTTTATAAAGTTAATAGAATTATAGGGTATTTAGCCTTCAGATTCTGATAACTTTCACTTTTATTATGCTTTTGTGGTTCACTAATGCTGTTACATGTATCAGTAATATGCCTTTTTATTGCAAAGTAGTATGGCTACACTGTACTTTATTTATACATTCACCAATGGATGGATATGTGTATTCTCCTTTTTGGTTATTTTTAATAATGCTGCTATGAATGTTTGCACACATGTCTTTGTGTGGACATATGCTTTCGTTTCTGTTTAGTAGACAGGTAAGAGGGAAATTATTGGATAAGTGTATGTTTAATTTTTTAATAATCTACCAGTTCTCAAGAGTGGTTTTACCATTTAATATTCACATAGCAGGATAGGAGGACTGAAGTTTCTCTGTATCTTTGCAGTTGGTGTTGTTTGTCTTTTTTGACTATAGCATTTCATGTTGGAATTATAATGTTATCTCTTTACCATTTAAATTTGTATTTTCTTTTAAAATTAGGTATTGAAAAATTAGTTATATATATTTAGAGAGTACAAAGTCATTTTATTATTTTTAAATACAACGTGGAATGATTGAACCAACATAGTTAACCTATCCATCACCTAAAATATTTGATGATTGTGATAAGAACATTTGAGTTTTACTTTCTTAAAAGATGTTGAAATGATCAGATATGGTAGTGCACAGCTGTAATCCCAGATACTTTGGAGGCAGAGGTAGGAGGATTGCCAGTTCAAGGTCAGTCTTGGCAAAGTCAGTGAGACCCTATCTCAAAAACAAAATACAAAACAAATGAGTAGGGAGCATGGCTTAAGTGGCAGATCACTTGCTAGCATGGCAAAGGCCTTGGACTTGTAACTTGTAAAGAAATATTAAAATGTGCAATACTCAGTTATTAACTATATTAATCACATTGCACAATAGATCTGAAAAAAACCCCTCAAACTTATTTCTCCTATCTAAGGTTTTTGCATCCTTTGGTTATCATCTCTCTATTCTCCCTCTTTGTAACTTTTGATAACCATTATTCTACTGTCTGCATACATGAATTTAATTGACAAGATTGCACATATAAGTGAGAACATGCCACATTTGTCTTATTTCACTTAGGGGTAGACTGTAAGTGGAAAGTAAGACCCTTCACCTCACAGCCCTTTTCGTGGTGGGTATCTTTATGTGAAACTGAGCTTCTGAGAGTTCTCATCTGCAAATTGGAAAAATATTATCTAACTCGAAGAACATTAAGTAAGATAATGCACAAAAGAGCATAAAGCACATAGTAAGTATTTATAGTCTCACTTTTTGCCTAGGCTAGCCTGTATAGTGACCCTCTTATTTTACATTCTCCATCTTAGCTGGAATGACAGGAGCATGCCATCACGTTCAGGTACTGGTTCTGATGGACTCTCGTGAACTTTTTGCCTGACCTGGCCTCTAATTCCAGTTCTCGCAAGCTCAGCTTGTGCCTGGCTAAAAAGAATACTATTCTTTTTTTTTTTTTTTTTTTAAAAAGCTATACCCACACTAAAGGCAAACAGCTATAAGGAAACAGAATTGGGATGCTGGGCTGATTGTATTAGACAAGACCAGATTTGTATATGGGCAAGGTAATGAAAGGTGTTTATGTGATACTAAGTAAACAAAGAGCAAATAAAATCATCTGACTTTAATGAGGAGTTTTTGAAGATTCAGGGAAATGAAGTGATGAGATTATCAAATTGCTCACTGAATTAGATTATTCTTGCAGACATATTAACATTGTTGCTTTAAGGAGTTCTATATAATATATGGATTTTATGAGTTTGGAGATTTGAAAAGCTTTGTTATTGTTTTTTGCAAAATTTTATTTAAAATTTGACATCCATGTTAGATGTTCTGTCCAGTTTTTTGTCAGAAGAAGGAATTCAGTCCATCCAAGAATAAATAAAAGAGAGTAGGGATAGTGGTATATATAAATATATGAGACAAAAGAGTAGGTCTACAGCTCAAATAGTAGCTTAACAACTTAATAGTTATTCTATTTATATAATAACTAATCCACATTCTAATCTAGTGAGGTAGACCTTTCCATCCTTAATTTGCAGACTGGGAGAGTGAGGTGTGATGGAAGTTGATAATTTTCCCCAATTTGTATGGGTGGTAAATGATGGGACTGGTGTTCATTACCACTCTGTGTGACTCTGAAGCCTGGAATTAGGCCCCTGAGATAACTTTAATTTTATATTAGAAATTCACAAAGTAAGAGAATGTAGAGACAGAAATGCCCTTAGAGGTCTTCCATCTCATGTCCCACATTCTAAAGATAGGGAAGCCAAGTTTCAGAAGTAAGCTCAATGTCTGTTGTATGAGGGGCCCCTAATCTAGTTTGTTTCATGTCCTGTATCCTACTGATAATTTTCCTACTATGATTTCCAACAGCATTCTCACTGACTGTCCTGGAACACTGAGTGAACCTGTTTAACACTTTATCTATCACAAAGCAGGAATTGAAGTGATTGGATCCCTTTTTCACAACTGATGATAAACTTGCAGTTTCTGAATCAGTTTCTGAAATAGAATGACAGGATCAGTATTTCCTCTTGTCTGAGTTCCTTAATTGATCCTCTGAACAATGACCTCACAGAGGTGCCACACTGTAATATAGATCTACTATTCCATCTATCATGACACCATGGAAGAAACCATTGATCAGAATCCTTATGTTCCATTCAAACTCACTATTATGACTTCCAGAGGCCCAAGAGACATAACGAAAGAGACAAGTTTCAGGCCCAGGGCAGAGATGATTGGGGCTTAAACAGTATAATAGGTTATGGGTTGGTTTGCTTCTACTAAGAAGGATAATGTGCCAACTTAGCTAGGCCATTCTGTATAGATGTAAGTGAAGAAGAGGAGAAAAATTAAGTTTACATTTATAGAATATAAAAAATAAGTGCAAGCATGAGCTTTTGTGGTAGAGGAATCTATTGAATGGAAAGGGCCAAAAAACTTTTGGGTAGAGGTAGAAAGTTGTGAGGAGCCATCAATTGATTGAGCTTCATTTGGGTACCTTGAAACTTCTTCCAGACTCACAAGAGCTCAGTTCTTGGTGACTTATAAACATAGATCACAACTTATCAAATTCTCTTTGACAGTATACCATTTGATATATGTAAGGGCAATCCCAGTCTTACAGTTCCTCAAAGTCTCAGTTTATCATTTACCTTAATCATATTTTTGATCCTCTCACTGAATGCCTTCTGATGATTCTTACTACTCAGGAGGGAAGTCCATTTTATTGAAGCAGCAAGAAAAAGAGAAAATATCTAATAGATGTTCTTTGAATTAAATTGGCATAAATGATGTATGAATTAGTAGAAGAAAATGAATTTAAGCCAATGTGTTAGTCAGTTTTCTGACACTATAAGGAAATAACTGAGATAATTAACGTATAAAGAAGAAAGGGTTATTTTAGCTCACAGTTTTGTGGGTCCAGTTCAAGATGAGGCAGACCTATTGCTTTGGTCCTCTGTGGACTACCATATGGCAATGGAAGGGAAGCAAAAGAGGGAGACACTGGGTCTCAAAATCACTTGCAAGAGCATGCCATATGACATAAGGATCTCCTGCTAGGCACCACTTCCCAAAGATCCCACAGTCTCCCAAGAGTATCACCATGGATGCCATGGTTCTAAAATATGGGCCTTTAGGGAACAGTCAAGATTCAAACTACTGGCAAGATACTTGGGAGCACAAGGTCGATGTAGGAATGATAAAGGCTCTGCACAGGTTTGCTATGTTTGTAAGGAGAAAAATGGAGGAACAGAATGGAATTTCAAGGAAGCTTAAGCTGACATCAGATAGTAAGCTCATATAAGTAAAGATTTGAGGTATGAGGGTCAGGTGTGAAGATGCATACCTGTAATCCCAGCTATGCTCAGGGAAAAGGTAGGAGAATCACAGTCTACTGGCCCCGTCAAAAGTGCAATACCTTATCTGAGAAACTAACTAATAGCAAAAGTAATAGAGGTGTGGCTCAAGTGGTAGAGGCCTGAGCTTAGTCCGTACTAACTCTCCCCCAATCCCCCCAAAAGAAAGATTTGAGATGCAAATGAAGGAGAAGGCATTTGTCTTTTCAGTTTGAGGGCATCTTGTACATTGCTTATCCATAAACACTGAGT